GAAAGTTATTTTAAAGGCTGATTAACATCCAATATAATTTAGAATGTACCTCAAACTGAGTGCATTGTGCCTTGAGAGATTTGCTTGTAGTATATGTATTTCATGAACATATAAAATTCACATATGAGGAAAGCATGCTTTTGTTTGTTTCAGCTGGTAGAGGAATGCAATCAAGAAGTTTGTCCTAGAAGCACATCAGCAGCAGAGCAACTTGCTGCTGGAACTGAAGATGGCTCCCCATCTCATCTTTCTGCAAAGGATTATAAATACATAGCCTTTTCTAACCATATGAAGAACATCCTGGTTAAGTATGTTTTTGTTTGGCACTGTAGTCAACACTCACAGTGTCCTGTTGTGCAACAGAAACACACAGCCCTGTACCATCCTCACAATTGCTCTTAGGGTTGAGTCCATTGTTGTATAGGCAGTTATTCTTTCTGGCAATTGGGGAAAATATCCTAGATAGTTGAGAGCCATCATACAAATGTGTAATGTGTCATGAGATGAAGAAAAGGAAAAGATGATTCCAGGTAGCTGGAACAGCATGTGAGGGACTCAGGTTTCAGAGAGCTTTTTTGGAGACTGAATGTACTATGTACAAAAAGAAGATTAGCAGATAAAAGGTGGAAAAGTAGATCTAGATTTGAAGGACCTGAATTCTATGCTGAGAATTCGAACCACACATTCTAGGGAGTTTGTAGGGAGTTGTGAAAACAGGTTTGCTATGATCCAAATTGTACTTCAGATGTCTCTGGCTTCACTTTCAATGATGAATTGGCCATAAATGGAGATATGAATGTTTATATTTAAAATATCTTTCTCATATGCTCCTCTTGATATAAGCTAACTGTCATCATTCATCTATCATCATTGTAAACTGGAGAAACTTAGAGAGCTATATTAGCACTAAAAGTGTAGTGGTTACTGTTGTGCTACTAATCACAAGGGCAGAAGTTCAACCCCGGCAGTCACTCCAAGGAAGAAATATGAGGCTTTCTGCTCCTCTGCTCCAATAAACATTCATATCATATGAAACCCACAAGGGCAGCTCTAACCTGTCCCATAGGTTAAGTGCATTGACAAGATCAATGGCAGTGAGTTTGGGTTTTTGATTTGTTATGTTTTTATATTAGCCCAAGAATAGAAAATATCACTCAAAATTTAGGATAGGCCAAGAAACGAAACCTTTTGATAAGTTTCCTTTTGTATAGATTCGTTTCAAAGAGACTGTGAGTTTGCTCAAGGGTTCTCTGAGTACACAGTTTTCTTCAAAATATACCACAACTATTTGATGACCACTCACAAATAGATTAGGCATCACGAAGCCAAAAGAACTTCTGTTCCGAAGCTATTTCTCCAATAAAGGCCTGAGACAAAGGACTTCTTCTGGAAATGCTTAAGGGGCATTTCTCCTTAAGCGGCACACATGCAGCTATCAAGCTGAACATATCTGTATTTATTTTATTTAGATGGCAAACAAAGATTCCAAGACCAATCGAGAAGAGAGTTGTGAGCTGTTGCGGTGTTGACAGCATTTGCTAGCGGAGCCGTCTCTAACGCATGGTGACAATCCTAGAAGCGTATCAGCAGCAGAGCATCTGGCTACTGGAACTTAAGATGGCTCCCCGTCTCATCTTCCTGCGTGTCCTAAATCATTTTACAGAGGATTTATCGCTTTATCGCTCACTGCACCTTGCCGGAGGCATGCATTTGCACCTATTAGTATTTCATAACGCTTCCATTTGAAAGTGCTTCCTGTAGATTCCGTGGACTCTGGCTTGGTGTCCTTGAGTTCACAGAACGCACATGGACCGCCACTGCCCAGCCCACCTCCCTCACTCTGAGAACCTTACAAATAATTCATAGTGCGCCGGAGGGCGAGCCTGCCTATAAAAGGGAAGGCAATCCTCTGAAAACCGTACTCCACTCACTTGGCCGATTTCTATTAGACAGGGAATAAATCTCGACTGAGAAATCGCAGCACTTCTGGTCCGTTAAACCCAAATTCAGATGTCAACGCGTACTTGATAAAGTAGCAGGGCAGTGAAACGGAGGAAGTCCTCCACAAGATGGATCGGCCCAGTGGCTGCAACAAAGGGTTCCAAAGTGAGAACAGTAGAGAGGATGGCGCAGGACTGCCTGGAGATTCCTTGTTGTGCCTGGGGCCACCGTGAGTCAGAAAAACTCCTGAGACTCCACCTTGCCTTCGAGAGGAACAAAAGAGGCAAATATTCCTGAACTCACGGATTCGGATTCTGTGCTTTGGAGCTGGAATCCCTGAGCCCCAGGCTGGGAAAGGACTGCTGCCCCCTCTGAATACAAAGAGAGTGGGGAGGGGGGTGGGGTGGGGGGCAATCCAGGCGGTCCCTAAGGCTGAATGACCTAGGAGGAAAGGGGGCAACAATGGGGTGCGAACTGAAGCTGAGAAAGCCTGCTTCTTTGTGGACCCTCAGAAACCCCCACTTGAGCCCCAACCTCGCAATGTAGATTCACAGCCCTAGCCTAGCCCCAGTTCTCTGGACATTTGGCCACATTGATTGGTCGTTGCCCCACTATTTTAGACTGGAGAGCATTACGAATAGTAAAAGAAGAAATAAGGAAAGGTTTGCCGACGCCGCTTTTTATCAATTCTTTTCCGCCTAAGTGCTGATCCTGCGTTGCCTAGGCAACTGCACACTGCTCCGCTGCAGACAACTGTGAGGCAATGTACTGCAGGCTGAATTTTAAGTGATGGAGGCACATCGGCTTTGGGGGAAAATCTGAAAGCTAGATACTTTTGTAAGGGCAATACAAACGTGGAGAAATATGTTTTGAAATAAGCATTTAAATTTTAAATGTTCTACTAGATCATCGAAGGATTCTGCCTTTCTACCCATCCCCCTAACCCTGAGTTGATTCGGACTCACAGCTTTCCTACCATCCTTCCTCAATGACATAAAACGATGATTCAGTAGAAGGCAAATGGTTTGAGAATGATGATGGCAACAAATGTACATATGTGCTTGATACAATGGATGGATGTATGGATTGTGATAAGAATTGTACGAACCTCCAATAAAATGATTTAAGGGGGGAAAAAACAATGATGATTTCCCCCCAGCAGACAAACGTTAGATCACTTGAGAATCATCCAAAAGTTGTGAGAACACATCATTTTCATAGTTGCTTACTTCATCTATACAATCATTTGGCACAAATGTACAACAGGGAAGTGGCAAAAAATATATATGCTACTTATTTCCTTCAGCGATATTTCTACAATTAATTCTACGAGGGCAGCATTTTACAATGGTAGTCTACAGCATGATGTGATGATTAAATACATGTTCCTGAAACCACCATGCTTGATATACAATGACATAGGTTGAGAGGGATTGTGTATGTATTTTAAGCAGACAAAAAGAAAAGAAATATACCACAATAGAATCTGTCGAGACCGTCCCAACCCATCTCTTTTGGGGAATTGCACAGAACAATGGTGGGTGGGAGCCTTGAGTAGATAAAATGAATGATTTCAGGAAACGACGTGGCAGTCCTCCATTGGATTAGGCACCCAATCATTTCCTGGTGAAAATTAAAATGTGCCGCATTGCCATTTCAAATAAAGTGGGGGTGGGGAGGAAATCGGTAACTAGAAAGCGTTCTGGGCTTTCTTCCCTCTACATGTATAAAGAGAAAGCCGATCTTGAATATACAGATCCCCAAAGGGATTAATTTTCAGCCTCACAATACTCCCAAGTCCCCTCCCATAAAGAAACCCAAGAAGGAAGGGTCCTTTCATCTGCATAACCTTGAATATGTGTTTTCACCCGAGGAGATCTGGCTCTGAAACTGAAGCTTGCAGTGAGGAGATGGAGGATCAGTTCAAATTACCGGGTCGGAGCCGAGACCTAAGGGGGCTGGACTTCTGTATTGAGTTTGCCACCAGGGCCGACTACTCTAGTGCGTCTACACTCGCCCCACCGGTGCAGCCACCCCTCTGTCCAACCCGAGTGGCCACCTGCGACCCCGAACTTACACCTGCCACCGCCGTTCCACAGAGGACTGGATCCCAGAAGCAGCTGCGTTGCGACATTGGGCACTGGACATCGGTTACTCTCAACGCTTTCTTCAATGGAAGGACCCGCTTTAGAAACTTGGGAATCATAGAGGACACGCGGCGCCTGCGCCCTTGAACCCCAAGAATGAGACATTTGGGGGGACCTTTTATCCCCCTAGTTCCCACCCGCCTCTGCTAAATTGGCACTAGCTGCTGTGTCCAGATGAGCCTCCCCCAAGAGCTCCAGTCTGCTCTGTGTGGACGCTTCTCTTTGTGCTACCGCCTTGAGTGGACAGCAAGCCCCCCCCCTCCCAGCCCGCAGTGGGAAAGTGAGACGATGGCAGCTTGCTGCCATCCTGGAAGGGTCGCCTCAGCAGTTGGAACCACTGCACACCCTACTGAAGAACAACAAAGGGATCCGGTTCCTCCTAGAACAGACTTCGGATTTTTGCAGGGGAGGATCCTGCGCTGGTGAGCGCGTGTCCTGGGTACTCCCTCGAGAGTGCTGCAGATTGTGTGTCCCCACCCCCACCGGCACCACGAGACAGGAGACCTTGTCGCCGACCTCCCTAGCTTCAGCTGCCGTGGCGTCCCAAGCACAATAAATCCACCGACGAAGCCAACGATCACGACTAGGCCGGTGACTGCCACCCTTGAGCTTTGAGCTGTGAACGCCAGGCTGATGTTTAAACCGCAATTGCTTAATGCCTCCCATGCCTTTGTTCCACCAGCAAACCTACCTTTAGACCCACGCTCATTTCTGTCAGCGGGAAAGTGCACGCTCCGGGGCCAGCCTCACACACTTCCTCTAAACGGTGCATAAGCCAGTCCACAGGGATGGAGTTGGGGGCGTGGGGGGTGGGGGGCTTGGGTGCAGCTGGACGCGTGTGGTCTCTGGGAGGGGATGGACAGAGATGCGCATGGCCGAGATTGCTTGAGCTCTGGGTGTTTCCGCCGCAGAGAGTGGGGGATGTGGCCCTGAACCGAGACAAAGAGAACCCACCAGGGCCACTTGGGGCTGTGGTGTCGCGAGGCCCGCGGCGTACCCTTCAAACACCAGCATCCTACTCACACACGACTCCCACCAGGGGCTGCCTGCCTGGGTCTGGCCGACTTTAGCCTCCAAGGCTGGGGGCAGGGGACCGTGGTCTCATCGGCGGCATATAAGCTGTGCAATTCTGGTCCCAGCCAAGGGCGAGATTGGATTCGCACGCACTGGGGACCCCCTGCCCCTCCGCCTGCTGGCACCTGCTGGACCCTCCACCTACTCTCCCCACTCCCCTTTCCAAGTGTTCGGGTTTCCCCGCCCCCAACACCACCCGCAGACCGGTACCCACTGACAGTCCCCATTTCGCTGCTCACCACTTCCCAAGACCTAACACCCGGGTTTAGCGCAGTCCTAGACAAAGCACACGCCCCCAGCTGCCTCTCAGAGTCTCCACCCCTCACCCGGGCCTCAAGGCCACGCTGATTGGCTGCTGGGGCCCCCTGGTCAGTTCCAGGGGCTTTGAGCATTACGTCAGCAGGGTCTGATTAGCCCACGGGGTTGAGGGGGTGGGGGCTGCTGTCTGGTGGGGAAGCGGGGGAGGGCTCGGCCTCCGCGGGTGCCCCGCCCTCCCTACATAAAAGGCAAAGCCCTCGCCTAGCTCATTCTCAGCCGGTGGATCCCCGAGTGCAGTCGTCCAGCCCCTTAAGAGCGGGTGTGTAGGGACCCCAGAGCGGACAGCGCCCAGAGCCGGGAAGGGAACGAGCATCATGCGTGAGATCGTGCATATTCAGGCGGGCCAGTGCGGCAACCAGATCGGCGCCAAGGTGGGCCACCACTGGGGTATAGGGCCGGGCTGGGGACCCGCGGGGCCGGCCGAGTCGGACGGTACAGGGACCGACAGGGGTGCGGGTCGCGAGTCCTCCCGGCCTGTCGGGATTTAGCGCCGTCCTAGGCAGACGGCACTGGGCAGGAACGGAGCTCCCAGCCGCTGCGTTTTGTCTGCGTTGGGCGTGGCTGCGCGCTGCGCGGATCGCCGGGGCTCGAACCTGGCCCCCTACTTGGATTCCCAGCCACTCCTTAGTCTCCTGCTCTCACTGCCCTGTAGCGGGGGTGGGAGGGGGAGGGGCGTAGTGTGTGCCTACCCGGCGACCCAGAGAATACATTTTACTGGCTTGAATAGGTGGGCTGCAGAGGGTGGGGGAGGGGGGCGCTAGTAGCAGGGTGGAGGGACGTTCTTTGAATGTTTGAGTGTAAAATAACCTTCCTTTAGCTCGGTCCCTGCCCCACCCCTTTCCCTCAAGCCTGTGTCCCCTCCACACCTCAGCCTGCGGCAGGGAACCCACTACCCAGCCCCGCTATTGTCATTGGTGGCTGGGGACCTTCAGTAGTGTGGCTGGCGTGGAGCACTTCCCGCACCCTGCTGCCCCTGCTCCCCTGCCGCTAGTCATCTGACCCTAGGAAATCCAAGCCCTTAGGTTAGGTTGTGCTCCGGTCAGACAGACCCGTCCCGGAAGCATCCATCCAAAAGGTTAGGTTGTCGCAATTGAGTCGAAGGTGTTTTTTTGTTTTTTGTTTTTTTATTGTGAGGAGTAACTCCCCAGGGGCTGCATGCCTAAATGCAGCGTTTTTCTTGTCTCAGTTTTGGGAAGTCATCAGTGATGAGCATGGGATCGACCCCACTGGCAGTTACCATGGCGACAGCGACTTGCAGCTGGAGCGAATCAATGTCTACTACAATGAAGCCACTGGTAATTGCCTTAACCCCTTCCTCCCTTGTCTCGGGGATGATTCCTAAGGGTGTGACCAGTGGGAGGTCAGAAGAGAGGACAGAAGTCTCCCACTCCTCACCACAGTGTGTTTCGGTGGACTTCTCTGTGCGCCCTAGTTTTTGGACACCCTGGTCCTTTTGGGGGCCACAGCAGTGCTTTTGAGGAGGAGGCAGAACGCTGTGTCTGTCGGTCTCAGTCCAGCCTTTCTCCTGTGCAGGTAACAAATATGTACCTCGGGCCATCCTGGTGGATCTGGAGCCTGGCACCATGGACTCAGTCAGATCTGGGCCATTTGGCCAAATCTTCAGGCCTGACAACTTCGTGTTTGGTGAGTGATTGCATAGTGTGGGGCTCATGTTACACTGGGCAGCGACCAGGGGAGGGCAGGGCTGCTGAAATGAAGTATGAAGAACATTCCATTGTAGGCCAAATTAGTCCTCATCTAAAGCCCCAAACTCACTGTTATGGAATCAATTCTGACTCATAGTGACCATATGAGTCACTATAGAACTGTCCCTTTGAGTTTTCAAGGTTGTAAATCTTTGCAGAAGCAGAAAGTCTCATTTTTCTCCTCAGGAGTAGTGGATGGGTTTCAACCCCTGATCTTACGGCTGAAAAAGAAACATACCCCACTATAACATCAGGCTCCTAGTTTTCATGTAGACTAGAAAGGAAGGGGAAAAAAATGACTTTCTGTTTAGGCCAGGTCTCCTAGCCTCTGTTCTTTATAATTATATCCATGGTCAAATAGTTTAAGGTCTGGTCATTTTGGTGGTGATTTGAAGCAATGTGGTCATTTGAGTGCTGACTCATTGTTCTATATTAAGGAGTTTAAGATAAAAAAGAATTTAATCTAATCACTAGTGACTGATGAAGTCCCTTTCCTTGTGGCAGGCCAGAGCGGTGCCGGCAATAACTGGGCAAAGGGCCACTACACAGAGGGAGCAGAACTGGTGGACTCCGTTCTGGACGTAGTCAGAAAAGAGTCTGAGAGCTGTGACTGTCTCCAGGGTTTCCAGTTGACCCACTCGCTCGGGGGCGGAACAGGGTCCGGGATGGGCACGCTGCTCATCAGCAAGATCAGGGAGGAGTACCCCGACCGCATCATGAACACCTTCAGCGTCATGCCCTCCCCGAAGGTGTCAGATACCGTGGTTGAGCCCTATAACGCCACCCTGTCTGTCCACCAGCTGGTGGAGAACACAGATGAAACCTACTCCATTGACAATGAGGCCCTCTATGACATTTGCTTCCGTACCCTTAAACTGACCACCCCCACATATGGAGACCTCAACCACCTGGTGTCAGCCACCATGAGTGGGGTCACCACCTGCCTGCGTTTCCCCGGCCAGCTGAATGCAGACCTCCGCAAACTGGCCGTGAATATGGTGCCCTTCCCACGGCTGCACTTCTTCATGCCTGGCTTTGCCCCCCTCACCAGCCGTGGCAGCCAACAGTACCGTGCTCTGACCGTGCCCGAGCTCACCCAGCAGATGTTCGACTCTAAGAACATGATGGCCGCCTGTGATCCCCGCCATGGGCGTTACCTGACTGTGGCCGCCATCTTCCGGGGCCGCATGTCCATGAAGGAGGTGGACGAGCAGATGCTCAACGTGCAGAACAAGAACAGCAGCTACTTCGTGGAGTGGATCCCCAACAACGTCAAGACGGCCGTGTGTGACATCCCGCCCCGAGGCCTCAAGATGTCGGCTACCTTCATCGGCAACAGCACGGCCATCCAGGAGCTGTTCAAGCGCATCTCCGAGCAGTTCACCGCCATGTTCCGGCGCAAGGCCTTCCTGCACTGGTACACGGGCGAGGGCATGGACGAGATGGAGTTCACCGAGGCGGAGAGCAACATGAACGACCTGGTGTCTGAGTACCAGCAGTACCAGGATGCCACCGCCGACGAGCAAGGGGAGTTTGAGGAGGAAGAGGGCGAGGAGGAGGCTTAAATTCAAAACTGAAAACAGATGAGGGAAAGATTTGGGAGGAAAGAAGGGGTGGGGTGTGTTCTGATGAAACCTCTTGGAAGTTAAAGGAAAGAAGCATGGTGTATGTGGGTGTGCACTGGGTCTCAGCGCTCTTCACTGTTGCCTGTCACTGTTTTTTTCTTTTGGTAGGATCGATGACGTCCATGTAACAATTGCAATATTTCTGAATTACTGTGGTAATGGCTAAACTCAGATAAAAATTTGTGTCCCTAACTGTGTCCTCTTTTCTTTTGTTTGCCTTTTCTCTTTATGGGGTCCTTTATTATCAACATAAATGGAAGCTTCTGAACACACTCCATTGAATTATTTTTATAGGGACAAGATGAGTATGTTCAAATGAATTTACTCTATGGAAAAACTGATCCAAATACAATCGTGCCCAATTTAAGGTGAGAGAAAAAAACAATTTATAATGCCTTGAAATACATATTTTATTAGTTGGAAGGAAACTGTTTGAAAGTACACTAAATATATTTTCATGTATAAATCCTGATAAATAGATATAAAACATACAAACCAGTTGCTGTTGAGTAGACTTGAATTCATGGGGTCCCCATGTGAGCTCGAGTAAAACTGCTTCATTGGGTTTTGTAAGTTAGAGTAACTTCCTGGAAGCCGACTGCCCGGCCCTTTCAAAGGCACCTCTGCATGGGTTCAAACAACCAATCTTTGGGTTAATAGGTAAGCAGTTAATTGTTTCCACGATCCAGGGACTTCTAGGTAGGTAATTGCCATTCAGTCAACCGTGACTCATAGTCACCTCATGTACAACAGAACAAAACATTTCCCAGTCCTATGCCATTCTCATGATTTCCCGGATTCATTCTGTCCTTGCAGTACTAAACTTATCCGTCTCACCAAGGGTCTCTATCTGGCCCTTTTCCACTAAGCATGCTATCCTCCTTTTGTTAGGTAGGTTGATAGAGAAACCAATCCACTGACATTCATTTATGAAAGAGCTTTATATCAAGAAATAGCTATATATATCATCTCACCCCAGTCCAACCCAAGTCCTTAAGTCTGATGCTAGTGTGTAAGTTTCTCTGCAGACTCATGTAACCACATGCCGGTGCTTCTGAATGATGAAGCAGGAGGTAGGAAGATCACAGGCTGCTGGATGCAGAATGATGTGGATCTAAAATTGGTGGAAACATGTTGGCACTAGCAGCTCTCAGCAGGCAGGAAGGCAATGTGGCGGGGAGAGAGATGGTCTCCAGTGTCTCACACTCCTATACCAAAAGGCTTATGACATCAAGTCGGTATCATTGGTCTGTGACCTAATTGATAGATTGAACTCCACCTCTAGCCAGGAGTATCTAGAAGTGTTTACAGTTGAAGTAAAATCATGTAACTACCACAATGGTCCAGGAATTTGTTTTCCCAATGATGTGTCTCAAGCAAGAGTGTTCTCTTGTGATCCATATGGTTCTGTTGGGATCCATAGGGTTTTGATTAGCTAAATTCTTAATGAAATCTATAGGCCATTCATCCTAGTCTGTCTTAGTCTGAAAGCTCTTTGGAAATCTGCCCACAGTGGGTGGCCCTGCTGGTATTTGAAATGTACTTCCAGCATTATAACAACAAGCAAGCCACTACAGTGCAACTGAAATCCTAGTGGTAGGTGGAAATCCTAGTATGGTTTTATTTTCTTCATCAAAAAAAGAGAAAACTTGAATATGCACATAGTACAAAATCCCAAAGGATAGTGTTAGATGCTACTCTCTTCATTCACAAATTTCATCTCTTTTATCCTTGCAAAACTATGTTTTCAAACCTATATAGACTATTCCCTTTTATGTACTCACACTTGGGCTGATCCTATAAATATTCTCCTGCAGCCTACTTTTTTCAGTTAGCAGTATATCATGATAGAGAACTATCATACACAGTATTGACTACATTTTAGCTTGTAAACCCGTTCTCTACAGAAAGGCATTTTGGTTGTTTATACTTTTTGTTTTCTTTAGTGCCACAATGACTAATTTCATATGTCATTGTGCACATGAGGAAAGCTATCCTGCAAATTTCTTCAAGTACAGTTTTGTGTAAACAGGTATATGATTGATAATTTGCCATTTTAAATCACTAGAGTGAATCACCTGTGCCTAGGAAGAATCAGATTGTAAATAATATTTCAAGCAATTTTTCCTCTCAACATTATGTCTATTGAATTTAAAATTCCAGGTTGTTGGGGAATTTTTCTTTAAAAAGAATTTTTTTAAGAAAGCAGTCGTAATTTCCAGATTATTGCATTTTTACCATGTGAGTTAGAGGGTAACTCACTCAAGGTCATATATCCAAGATGTGGCAGAGCTGGGATTTGAAGCCAAGTCTGACTCTATACTTGAACTCAAAGTCAATAAAGAAGCCAGTTCAGTAAGTAATTTTAGTTAAGATTATATGCTGCTACAAGATTAATTACACTTTCTCAAAAAGTTTTGACTGCTATGATCACTTAGTTTCTATTTAGAGGAAATTAATAGGAGTATAAGTTACAAAAAAAACTGACCAAAGTTTATGTACATATAAGTAGAATAGAAAATTAAATCTTGAGAAAAAATTAAATCTTGGTTTAGATTTTTTCCAGTTTTTAGACAAATTCAGAGAGAAGATAGAATTTAGAATATAATCATATTTATTTCATCCAATTTATTATGAAAATGAGAAAGAAAACCAAATCTACTGCTACTGGGTCAATCCAACTCATAGCAACCTCAAACTAGAGATCTTTATTGGAGTACAAGGCCTCATTTCATATTAAAAAGGTTGAAGTCATTTTTGAAGAATGTACCTAGCAAAATATAAATAGTGCCATTCTACCAAGTGTGAAAATAAGTTAATTCTATCAAATGTCTCCTATATATGGAAAAGAGTAGCACTTCACATCACAGTATTACACATCATATGAATTTGACCAAGTGATAAGGGGGATCAAACAAGGGTTAAGCTAGTGACTCCTGCTCTAATTTTCTATATTTGACAGGAACTGGCAGGTGTTTCTCCTGTTAAGCTGGTGTAAAGCCTTCAACTACCTAGCTGAAGGGTGGCATCCAGTTTTAAAGGCCCCACTTTGGTTAATTGTCAGGATCCTCTGTATTTAACCAGGGACATACAATCCCTATAACCTGTCATTCAAGTACCCAGTAATTTTGAAAAGAATGGGACCATAGCCAAGTGCCTCTTAGCATACTCATTAAGGGTTAGATTTGGGGAATTGTGGTCATTCAAAATCAGGAAATGTTTAGATGAAAAAGAGGACAGGAAGCCACATAGCAGGCAAGTCTGCTAGCCTATCAACCTGTCTACATCTGCACACAACTATGGCTCATATGGCATGGTTAGAATAATAGGCACCAGATTGGCTAAGCAAGAAGATGCTCTGGGGTCTCAAGAACTATTGTGCACATGAAATTTGCACAGCTAGGACTGTTGATAGTATTGGTGATAGAGATAATGGTGGTGATGATATTGGCAGTGATGATGGTGCTGGTAATTGATGAATAGATAAATTGATAGTGATTCAAAAATCAGGAAATGTTCATATGAATGCCTAAAACCTTTAGTGTCCTTTGTTATGTTACCATTTTATACTCAGAGTTGGTATGGTGGTAGAAGTACTTGTAACTGGCTGTGGTAGTAGAAGTAGTGGTGATGGTAGTGGTGGTAGAAATGGAAATAGTAATGATAATGGTGGTGTCGTTGATTGTTATGGTGTGACAGAAGTGGTGGTGGTAATAATAATAATGGAGGTGGTAGTGGTGATGGTGTAATGGTAATGGTGGTGATTATGGTAGAGGTAATGGTGGTAGTGGTGCAGGTGATGATGGAGTTGGGGGTGATGGTGATGATAATAGTGTTGGAAACAGTCATGGTGGTAGAAGGTTGTTGATATTGGCAATAGAGCTAGTGATGATGGAGGTGATTTTATTGATAATGATGGTGCTGGGAGTAGTAGAAGTTTTGATGGTGATGGTAATTGTGATGGTTGTGTGTGTGAATGAGTGATGATGGTAAAGGTGGTGATTGCAATGGTAGTAGTGATGGTGTCAGTGGTGATGATGGTGGTGGTGTGCATAAATGAGTGGTGATGGTAGTGATAGAGATGGTGATGGGACTAGTGGTTCTGTCATCTACATTAAAAAATGAACCAGATTTATTGAACACATACAGTTTATTAGATATTTACCTCATGTAATCTGCACAGGAATTATATAGTTTGGGTGATTTTGATTGTGTCCAATCAAATTAAAATTTGTTTTAAATTAAAACAATTAAAATTTGTTTACAAAAGGAGTCAAGTTCAAGCCATTGAGTTGTCTGTCATGTCTGTTCCAACTCATGGTGACCCTGTGTATTCCAGAGTAGAACTACTTTTTGGGTTTTCTTCTCCTCCCCAGACATCATATTATTCAATAGTTCAGTCATAACAAGCAGTGATGTATAATCAGGACCAGAATCATTTTCAAAATATTTTCTTTCTTCTTGTATTCTTTAAGATAGGCTCCCTATTACTCCCTCCCCTGCTATAGCCTCCAGGAACCCTTATTATAGTGATTGTCTATATAAATTCACCCAGCCTGGTTTTCATATACCAAAAAGCATAGAAAGATGTATAACAGAAAGTCAAGAACACTACCAACGAAAACAAATACAGTAAAGATAAGCCCCAATCAGAAAAAAAACAACAAGAACAAATATATATTAAAAACCCGATCAAAATGTAAAGGGAGCTCAAGATTTTAACCCTTCAAGTCAGATTTATCATTTTAATGTTCTTCTATAGGGTTTTATTAGCAGTAATCTTTACAGAAGCAGATTGCAAGGTGTTTCAATAATGGTCCCATTGGGTGGGTTCTAATCACCAATTTTTGGCTTAGTTAAAAAAAAACAAAAAACCCAAAAGCAAACCCATTGCCATCCAGTTCATCACAACTCATAGTGACATTAGATAGGCTGTAAATCTTTGCTGGAGCAGAAAGCCTCATCTTTCTACTGAGGGTCGTCTGGGTTTGAACCACCAATCTCACCAGAGAGATGACCAGAGCTCCTTAATTGATCTACAAAAGGTCCTTGAAATGTGTTATCATAACAAGAGGTCATAATGGAGTACTAACCAAGCCAACTGCAATTGATTCAATGCTTACTTATAGTGACCCTACAGAACAGAGTAGAACTGCCCCTGTAGGTTCCTGAGGCTGTAAAATCTTTACAGG